CAACACATAATTAAAGAATTAAAAAGGAACCAAAGAATAATTAAGAAACAAATCGAACAATTCAAAAATTCAGTACCCAGAGTAATAACCCTAGAAGAACTTGAACTCAGAGAAATTGAATCTTGGATACAATCTAGGATCAGCAACCCGAATAATATAATATGTTTAACCCTAACAGTATTAAGAAGTAAACTAAACAATCAGGACTTATATGACCAATTGCCAGGAACAGATAAACCATTTAAAACTTGAACAAGAACTGAAACCAGAAAATTATAAAATAATCTGTATCAAGAAATCAGAAGTAACAACTATATCTTATACTGAAGAACGACAAAAAATCGAAAACAGTTTAATATATAAAGAATTCAACAAACCAAAAAAGAATAAAGATCTTGAAAACTTTGATAAATATTTAATTATCTTGGGAGCAATAGTTCTTGCAGAACAAAAACCAGAAGATCTTGAACACAGATATTGGATAGACAAATTAATCCAAAAACAATTGCAAAGTGAATTAGAACTAAAACCAGATTTTAATTTAACAAACTTTAGATAAATCCGACTAACCCCAATAAAAACTGAAGACGTCAAAAAGGAAATAAACCAAAAACTACAAGAAATAAAACAAAAATATTACCCAGAACAATTGAAAAGGTTATATTTAGTAAACCAACAAGGAAGCTATTATTAAATGATCAAAGCAGAAATAACTAAAAGTAAACTGGGAATATTAATTGACGAAGTAATTGAAAAACTTGAAAAGGACCAAAACTTAATTAACAAAGGAAAGAAAGAAGAAATATTAACAAAAATAAAAAACGCGAAATCAGAAGAACCAACGTTTAAAGAAGAACAAAAAAGAATAATAAAATATTTGGAAGAAATAACGTTCGAAGAACAAAACAAGACTAGAAATTATCACCAAAGAATTGACACTATAAATTGGTTAAGAAAACAACTTTACGAAGACACATTACACCATTGCATTAATTGTAATATAGGCTGGAGATATTATAACTCACACGACTGCAACTATGATAATAAACCCGGCAAGGAACTAAGAAGATTATACAATATAACAATAAAAGAACTCAACAAACTAATTAAAGAAGACTCTGAGAACAAGAATTATATAAATTCTGAAAAAATAGAAAAAACAATCAAAGCAATAAAGAAACAAATATTTGAGTCAAAAACTCTAACGTATATTGAAGAAAAAGAGAAATTAATTAAAGAAATTAAAGATTTAAATAGAACCACCTCGATAGCATACAAATTATTAAAATCAAAAGTTGAAGAAAAATTAAAATGAACCCAAACGAATCCAATGGATGGACCCAACAAGGACCAAACTACTGTAAATGGTGCGATAAACATGTTGAAAAACCCGAAGAACATAACTGCCAAATCAGAGACCAAGAACTCCAAAAAATCACAAAGGAAGAATTTAACGAACCAGGATCAATCATTGAAAAGATAACGAAAGTATTCAATGAATACACTGAGGAAAAATTTGAAAAGGAACGAGAAGCAATTCTAAAGAAACAAAGCACTAGGGAATTCACGTGCGAAATCTGCTACCAAAAAAGACACACAAAAAGATACTGCCCAGACCAAGAATGCTTTTCATGTAACAAAAAAGGCCACCAATCAAGAGATTGTCTGAACAAAATTAGATCAGACCAATCAAACTATAATCCGAGAAAATCCCATAGCGACCCAAGTAACCAAAATTGGAATAACCAACAAGGATCATCCCGAAGAATGTTTATCTACAAGTTTTGCGGAGAAAACTACAGAAATAAAAACTGTAAGACATTTAGAGTACTAAAGAAAAACGGAAGTCTCCTATGCGGGTGTAATGCAGAAGAAATCTTACTAAGATGACAACAATATGTAGAATGGGCCTCATACTCAGAAAGACGAGACCATCACCATTGCTGCAATTGCTGCAAACCTACAGCAGCCGAGAACTTATACTATATTCAGGATTATACACATCTCCAAGAACTTTTAGACCCATGTTCTTACCAGAACAGATGATGTGCAATGGATGTTATCGAGAATACCTTGAAGAACTCGATATTAGGGACGAATGAGCACAAAAATACTACCAGACCATAGGACAAGGAAGACTCGTAAATTGTTACCTATGTGGAAAACAAGGACTCAAAAGAAAAATGGAAGATTGGCAAACACGATTCTTTTGTAATAAAGAGGAAAAATTTGCAAATCTCGTCTATCAACTAGAAGAACAAATTATAGACAATTCGGAAATAATGAAGAAAATTCACGCTTATACCAGGAACCAGACCAATACCCATTATCAAATTAATGAATCGAAAATTAGAAGAATATATAAATATATGAACGAAACAGATCAATGGGATCACAACAACCCAAACTTTAAAAATATTATTAACGATCAACCAGATGATATTATGAATTATCATCGGTATTATCAAAATGGAAATGAAAAAATAACTGAAGATTCTGAAGATTACGATAGCGATTACGAAAGACTAGCAATGGGATTGGAAAACTCAATGAATTTTAACACAAAAGAAAAAGAAAAATTGGAGGATTACCAAGAACAAATGGAAATACAAGCCTGAAATCTTTGTAGAGCATGTTTAATGCCAATATCGGAAATACACACTGAAAACAGAGATTATCGAAATGAATACTGTTTAGAATGCCTTATGGAAATTGAAGAAAAAATAATCAATCTAGATAAGGAACTTGAAAAAAAAGAACAAACTGAACAAGAAAAAGAATTAGACAGTATTAGAAAAGAACTAGAAATAGAAAGATATATTGCTAAAGAAAAATTACTAAATAAAATACAATGGCATGGAAAAACGGAAGAAGGATACGAAAGTAATGATGAATTTAAGTACGAAACACAAAACATCGAAGAACTAGACGACTATATTGAAGAAATCACAAGGGACCAATACCAAGAGGACATATCCCAAAATGCTGCAAACCTGAAGAAATTAACACTAATAGTCCTAAATTTACAAACAAAAAATGAAGGAGAAAGGGAAGACCTGAAATCAAGAGTGTCAACACTTGAAAAATCAACCCTAAAAACGCTGGTACAGATTGAGACCCTAGAAACAGAAGTAAAAGACCTCAAAAATGAAAATCATATGCTCAAAAGAAGAATTGAGCACTTAGAAGAAGGTGCTAGAAAAACCATTAAATTTAGCACAAGCACGTCAACAAGTGATAAATAGCTAAAACAATACCATATTTAGTTTATCATATAATTAGCCCACAAACAATATTATTATATTTTATTGTATCTTATCATAAATATTTATCTTGGCAAAAACGCCAAAACCAAAACAATATAATTTAAATCAATAAACAATAATAAAACAGAAAATATAAAAAGACCAACAATCAGACCAGAC